TGCTCCCTGGTCTGTGTGTCAGGTGATGGAGTCCCACCCTCTTCCTCTCCTGCTCCCTGGTCTGTGTGTCAGGTGATGCTGTCCCACTCTCTTTCCTTTTCTTTTCCTGGTGTGTAGGATGATGGCGTTTTCTCCTCTTTCTTCTCCTTTTTTTCTGTTAGGATGCCTACATCCCACCCTCTTTCTCCAGCATCTGAGCCCAGGTGCAGTTATTCACATGCACACTTAAAAGCAATGAGACCACAGGTATTGTACTTTTTTTTAATTTTTGAGAAGAGGTCTCTCTGAGGGGGTGTCAGATCAGAACCCTCCCAATTCCATCTTCTTAGGAGCTGCTGTCTTGAATGCACACACCAGGCTCAGCTTCTTGGATAATTTATATGCAATAAGGGTCCAAGATAACACCATGGTAAAATAAAGGTTTATAACATATCATCCGATCTATGTTGAGGTAGGAGCTCTGGCCTTTAACTCATATGACACACACACACACACACACACAACTGGAAATGGATTAAAGGCCTCAGTGTAAATTCTGTAACTATAGAATTCTGCAAGGAAACAAGAGAAAGCCTCTTGCATGGGGTGGACAGGTTTCTTAGCCAGAGCCCACGAAGCCAAAGCTTTTTTGAAGAGTGATATGACCTCACTTAATTAAGAACTGCTCTTCTGAAGTCACCATTAAGGAAAAGAAAGGGCCCATGAATGTGCATGTCCCCAGACTCCCTGGTAGCGCCAGGCTCTGGAGGGCCTGCTGTGTGCAGTGGTCAAGTGAGACCCACTTCCCTCCAGAGTGCTGATGGAGGAGCAGAGCTGCCCTTTCCCTGGCCATGGGCTCCACTCCTACACATATGCCCAAAGAGATGCAGCTCAGTCCACACAAGGACGTGCATGCACAGGTATTTAAATGCGCAGACCCATGAATCCACTTTTGGCAAGGCCAGGTGGAGAGAGGGGCTATGGAAGAGCCCTGAGTGTGGCCGAGGTGGTGAGCAGGTTTGGAGCAGGCTGGTTCAGGGTAAAGGTCCTCTGTGGGGCAGAGACCAGGACAAACCATTTCAGGGGCATCTTGTTTGGCGCGAGCCACCAGCTGGGCCTTGGAGAGAGACAGTTCTCCTAACCCAGGAATCCCCTCCCCCAGTGTCCCCTGGCTTGACCCTGTGCGTTCTGGTCTGCTCTGCTCCCCCAGCCCTGGTCTCTTTCTGTTTGGTGCAACCCAGTGAGACCCTGTGTCAGGATTAAAAAAAAAAAAAAAAGAGCTGGAGGTGTGCTCAGTGGTAGAGGGCCTGGGTTGAACACCAGCACTGTGAAAAAAAGGAGAAAGAGAAGGGTCCTGGGGGCTGGGCTGCTCCCTGCACAGGCCAACTGGGGCTACCAGGGACTGTCGGTGGCCCTCTTTCCAGGGCTTAGCTGCTCCCACAGACGGCTCCCTCCGAGAGCTCCAGGGAGTGTCCCTCTGGTGTGCTGCAAAGCTGCTTTGCAGATCTGAGGTCTGGCGTAGGGGCCACTGGCTCCCAAACCGTTTGCCACTTATCAGCGCCTGCCCATTCCTGGAGAACCGAAGACCAGGCTGACCGACACACACCCTGGAGGTGAAGAGGAAGCCTAGCCTTGGTCTCTGGGCCAGGCCCAGGGCTTCCGGGATCCCTGAGGGTTTTCATGACACACTCGCATTCACCCTGATGCAGGGTTGGGGGACCCTCAGGCTACTCAGGATGGGGCTGGCTGCAGAGGAACCTGCCATGATGTAATGGCAAGACCTCCCTGGAGGGCAGGACGGAGCCCAGCCCATGGTGGAGGCCTTCTCAGTCAGGGCTGTGTGCAGCTGGACTGGTGCTGAGAGGAAGTGGTGCTGTGGCCATGCTGTGGATCCCAGGGAACCCAGGGGCCCAGCATACAGGACGCGTGGCTGCAAGGGAAGAGCGTGGTCTGCTGCTGCTTGGGCTGACATGGGCAGTCTGGGGGATGGAGCCCCATTTTCTGGGTTTCCCTTAACTCCAGGGGTGGGCTCCGCGTGAGCTGAGCCCTGATAGGAAGGAACAAACGGCAGGTGGGATTTGTGCTCTCCCTGTGTGCACAGTCTGAACACAGATTCACAAACACACAAGACCCAGCCTGCCAACCCAGGTCCTTGTACTTCCCAACTTGTCTCTGGAAGAAGGCTGCTCTTGGCTGAGCTGAAAGCATCCGACAGATACGCCTCATATCCCAGGGTCTCCACACAGGAAAACACACGGTCACAAATTGCTTCCCCTTGCTTTTCTGCCTTGTGGTAAAACATCAGATCTTGGGTACAGCTCCAAACAGCAGAAGTGGATTCTGGGCAGCTGGGATTGGGGAACCCGACTGGAGATGAAGAGCTAGCCACAAGAATGACGAGGAGGTTACCAAGGAAGAGGGGTACTGGCAGGAGAGGGGGCAACCAGGGAGAACCAAGAGAGAGCACACCATGACCTGTCCTGAGTGACGCCATGATGTGTACAACAGCACCTCTGCCCAACAAAGTCACTAGGGCAGGCAAAGCATGAAAAACACTATCCCAAACACCATGGAGTCACTGGGGGCAGGCACAGCCTAGGACTGCTGTTCTACACCATGGAGTCACTAGGGCAGGCACAGCCTGAGGACTGCTGTTCTGCACACCATGGAGTCATTCAGGGCAGGCACAGCCTGAGGACTGCTGTTCTACACACCATGGAGTCACTAGGGCAGGCACAGCCTGAGGACTGCTGT